AGTGAAACAGGCCCGGTCGCGGCACTCGGACCAAACACAGTGCCTGCCATTTCAGGCCGACCCAGCACCCCGCCGACGGAGGGACTAGTGGTCTTAGCTAGCCCATATCCTGTCCCCTGTGCCAGTTCTCCAATCCGCCGCGGTCCCCTTCCTCCTAAGACCCCGATTCCTCTCCCGTAGCCCAAAGTACTCCGTCAGGGAGGTACATCAGCTCTTGGCTCGCCTGTGACCACTTCAGCCGGCAGGGCGGACAGAGCATTAGTCACGTCGGCCCAGCTCGTACCTGGCGGTCGCCCTGCTATCTATGCAGCAGGGGGAGGGGTGCGCATCTCCTGTCGTGGGCACCGAAAGTTGAAGAGAGGGCTACCCCCATCGATTCGACTGGCAAAAGTCGGTATGATCCTGCCTGCCGATCACGACCAAGTACACTCGGCACTTTGGTCGTTCCTCCCGGGCGCAGCCTGCGAACACTATAACACCAAACCTCACCGTCCCTACAGAATCCGACTGCGCCGCTGAGCTCGCAATGTCCAAAAATCCCCAATTTGCTCGTTGGTTCGCCCGCTCTTACTCCGGAACGAGTGGGAATGACCCTCTTCACCCTCGCTTCTCAACCCTCTCCGCCATAGCTCCGCGGATCCCTCCCCCACCTTACTAACTCTTATCCTACTTTACTAAGCCCAAACCAGACAGCACCATTGAAATCGCCCTATCTGGAAACCCCCACCCACGATTTCCTCTTACTCGATCTCATCAGAGAACGAGTGGGATTTTCGCTTTTCCTCCTCTTCGCCATTTCCCTCTCCCTGTTGTCTCGGTGCACACCCTTCTCCCTTCTACATCTACCCTACTAACCTACCGTCGGAACCGACCCCGTCACGCGGATCGCCTGTGCTCCAAAACCCCACCTCGCTCCTCCCCACGTTCGCTTTCATCAAAGATCGTGCGAGCGGCCCCGTTTCCACCACGCCTCGACTTCCTCCCCACCATCTCCAGCTCTCTGTGCCCCATGCGCACCTACCACCACTCCCTGTCCGGGTCTGCCCGGCCTCCCAACACTCCGCGGTCTTCAACAAGCTCCGCAACGCACCTCTCGGCCATTCCGCTGTGCCCGATGATCTCGCTTGTCAAACAAAATTCTTCAAAAAAAAGGACACGGGCCGACCGATAACTACCTCCGAAAACTCCTTCGCGCGAACGTGGTTTCTTTTGAGGCCGGGTTCGGGCACATACGGCCCACTTTAGTGGTTAGTACCCTGGCCTTCCCCCCTTTTCTCCGAATCCTATGTATCATCCTTACGCAGGGACCGTGCAGACACTCCCCCGTATCGCTCCAACGAATACCCCAGAGGACTCTCACCGAGCCACGCGCCGATGCCCCTGCCGCCCTCCCAAGGTCCATCGGCCCTCATCTCCTCCGCATGCTCCTACCTTGTCTCCCGTCCAAGTTCCGTCCCGAGCCGCCTTGCTGCATGCGCCACTCCTCCGTGGCTAATCCTGTAAATCTTTCGGATATTACCCCAATCCCTCTTCCCTTTCGGATGCCCCGAAGGTCTCACCCGGGGTAAGTACCCAGTGGCGACACCAAAGCCACTCGGCCCCCTTCTTCCGATCTATGCGCGCCATCCTTGCGCAGGGGCCGGCTAACGTTTGCCTCGCCATTCCAACTTTAACAGATGTCCCAAAGGGCTCCGCCCTAGACTATACCCCGTGGCACTGAGAACCCCATGGCACTGCGAACCCCGTGCAGGCCCGGAAAACCTAGAATGCCAGGCTTTGCCCGTCACATTCCGATATCTGGATTCGAACATGGGTCTGTCTTCCAACAGTTCATGGGTGTAACAGCTGAGCTCGGCCAGTTAGTCCTAGCTACGGCCACGGTACTGTGTCCCGTGGTGGAACGGGGTGCAGGTAACGGGCAAAATACGAAATACAACCAAGATTTAAGAAGGATAAAATATAAGAAAACCAGAAAAATAATTAGAAGAGAGAGGGAACACGAGAGTTTACCAACACCTCGTCAGTCCCGTGGGTCGGGCCCGCTGTCGCGCATGTCACCAAAACTGAGGGGGATATCTCGTCGGGCCTCGACCCCTCGGTTTCTCCAACTCTTCGCTGCTCCCTCATTGCCGTATGCTAGCCTCGACCCCCAAACCTTCGTAGTAACAGTCCAATGCCGTAACCAATAGGGCTAAGCCCAAGCTTGAGACCAGCATGCGCCAACTCCCATGTGAGGTAGTGTGCATCGTACCCCCGACCAAGAAACGCCAAGAACCACACATCGACCTACGTCCAAGCCTACTGTTGCTCAACCGTTACGCCGGCATACCCAATCTGCCTCGTAGCTACCACACATGCCCCATCTCGGGCGCCAGACCCACCGTCGGTCGCGCGCGCCGACCAAGACGAACCTCCATTCCTTGACCAGGTCCGTAACACGGTCCAGGTCGGTCCAATAGACCGGCCGCCTGCTTAATAAAAAAAGAATCACACGCGCGCCTTAAAACTGCGCGCCCACACACCTCCTAGCGTGACCAAGGCGGACCTCGAACGCAATCCCGCCTCACACGCCCCATTTTCGACCAAACCCATTTCTTCTGTCATATGCAAAAACCAGAGCGGATACCCTTGTAAGGGTATTCGAGCCGACAGCCTACCGGACTATATCAAGCGACGTCCCCGTCGCTACGTCAAACCAGAAAGCTATAAATTCATCCACGCTCCAAATGCTGGCGAGAACGAAACCAATCCGATCAGCCGGCAGACTTAGGGTCGAGGCCTCCAACAATCTGTGCCGACATAACTATATGCCGCCAGGGTTTCAACCTGGGTTTCCATTGTCCTGCCACTAGGACGCCGGTGTATTATGCATCAATACTACAGCATAAGTTCCAAAGGCCACCTCAAACCGTCCTCTCCCCTTCGTCCTAGACAAACGCCGACTCTTCGTTGGGTATCCCTGTTAGATTCTTTCTCGTAAGCAGAGTCATACAGGGACGCGGGCCTTAAACGAGACCTCAGAAGACACTCTCGCCTTCCTCACGAAAATCCTCACGATCGAGCATATATGTATACGTATACTTAAATCTCCTCTCAGCTCTCTCTGCAGTCTAGTACAGAGAGGCTAGGTTTTCATCCTGGCCCACCAAAGTCTGGTTGATCGAGCCAGATCCATGGCCCATCGCATTGTTATTTTAGCGACAGTACCCTTCGCTGGTTACTCAGCGACAGGTTTTCTCCTGATAAGCGTTCAATCCGGATGACCAAACGACTCGACTCGTATCCCCCGCCATCCTACCGAAGTAATTTACCTGAGGCGTGCATAACCCCTTAAACTCTTTCCCCGTTGGTAGACGTGGGCCCGCAACCAGGTTGTGCTGGCTTGCAGCCATCCAATAGGGGTTGCGCCCTAGTGGTGCTAACCTTCACCGTTTAGTTTGGTATTCCTCAATATGCCTTAGGATTAGCACGAGTGTCTAGACGGTGCGTCGCAAAACAGACCACATGCCCGCTGCGGGACTGCGCAGGGTTCTGTCTCACTTTTAAGGGTATTTACCAGCCCCCTATGGGACAACATAGAGTGCACGGCCCCTTCTCACAATCACAAACAAATTCACCGCTAGGCTCACACGAGGCCGTGACCCGCTGACTTGATCAGAGGCAGCAGGCCACACATTCCACGACATCTTAATACACTGACTTGCGACCTTCTCGGTTCCACCAATGATTCAAATCGAACTTCTGGTTCCTCTCGCCAGACTTTATCAGCCCAACCATTGCTTATCATGCCCTTAAATCTATTAACCATATTTCACATAAGAGAGGTATTTTTCAACAGGTCCCCCAGCCACCCCTCTCTGTTATAGGATGTGCTATCACGCGACCTGTTTTAACGCCCCCTCCCCCTTTTTTTTTTTTTTTTTTTTTGAAGGTGAGCCATCCAATAGACAACATTACCACCTTCCTTAATCTGAAGGGGGCTCAACCATAGAACAACTCAACTGAGGACCTACTTAAGGGTCCTCTTCTCAACTCAGACATGAAACAAACTCAAACTGAGGGACCAACTTATGGGTCCCCTTCACAACTCGGCCATAGACGTTCGGCATGGTAAGCATTCGAGCCTTATGGGCTCGCAAGACCCCTTAGGGTCCTCACACATCTATCACAAAACAACAGCACTGCCTCCCCTTATACTCGGTCGTTTCACCTGCCCAAAGGCAGGTCGCACGAGTATACCGGGGAGTAGACGGTAACACATTCACACAGTACAGAATACATGAGATGTATCCCACACATCTCTCACACAAAGCCATCATACATTGGGATAAAGTCACACGTGTGAGAGTGATCGTGATCGCCACAAGAGTAAATCCCACAGAGTCTGGAATCAAATGTGCTCGGGAGCAAAATATCTCCCTCAAGTCTTAATACAAACACTCAACTCAAACCCTCAACACACAACTCATAGGGTATGCTTGGGGATAACATGTCTGCCTCGGAATCAACCCATAACTTAGTTCGCTGGTTCACTCCCCAAGTGTTATGGCTCTCATGATCCACTCAAAATATAAGCAAGGTTTTTAAGCCCCCAGAACTATTGCACAAGTCGCATAGTCACAGGTATTACACAACCAAATCTTACCTCCTTCATCGTATGACACACACCAAAAAGCTCAAAACCCGATCAAGCACTACCACCTATGTACGCACAACTAGTTAGGACTCTCTCGGTGGACTCAAGCATGCACACCTCTAGACTCCACTCGACTTACTCAAAGTATATACACCCCTAAGCCGACCTTTGCGTACAGTGGAACCCTAGTCCTACTGTCGTATACGTGAGCTAATCCCTACTCACTCATGACCTCCTGGTTCTGCCTATACAACTGTGCCCTACCCCCATCTGGAGCTCGCTCCACCACTCGCCCCTGTCTATCATACATCCTTCCACCACTCTCTGTCACTCTCCCAGCAACCTTGTCCTTAAGGAACTTCGAACACTCAAGAGCTCTGTGAACGTCATGCTTGCAGAAGAAGCACTGATCATCCTACCTCCTCTGACACCTCATCTTCTTCTTTTGGGACTCTGGTAGCGACGACATCTCACTAGCCTCCCTACTCACCTCATGGCTCTGGGGCATACTCCATGATTCCGTCGGTCTCGCCTCCAACATCGGGGTACTCGGCCCCGCTCGCATCTCGCCTCCCTCAGGTCGGTACGCCGGAGTGTCAAATCTCTGCGGCCTACCCTCACGGACCCTCTCCATCACCGTCGTCCCCTCGCCTCTATGCGGGTCTGAAGGCTGGGGAGTCACGGTAGCCACTGGCTTGCTCATAACCTTCTGCTGCTGCTCTGAGATGTGCTCTTCCGAGTCAGCTCCAGTAGCCCAGGAGCCTAACTGTGTCCTCAACTCCCCTATCTCTGGCACACGCTCCGGGGTCTTGTGTCTCTGAGGCCCCTCTGACGGCATGTCCAACTCCATAGCTGCCACTAACTCATCCAAACGAGATGCCTCCTCCTCCATTGCCTCAGGCTCAGTGGACGCTGCTGCCCCCGTAAGGGTACCTTCCTGTACCTCCAAAAGGATCGTAGGGGACTCCTCTGTGGGGCCCCCTTCTGCTAGTGGGGGCTGAGAGCTCTGTGCTGGCCCCTCTATAGGGATCTCAACCGCCATAGGTGTCGCCTGCTACGAGGCTAGCTCGGTGGGGGTCTTGAAGCTGAAACTCCCTCCTTCGACCTTCCGCCTTATCTCCACCTCCGCTGGGTCCAGAAATACCTCCTCCATTCCCTCTTGCTGAGATGGCTCAGCCGCCCCTCCCTGACCGAAGAGTCCCTGTACTTCCTTTCCCTGGATACCATACCGGCTCTGCTCTGTCCAGTCGACCACCTTGGTGGCCGAGAGCCTCTCCACAATTGCCGCCATGTCCTGGAGTCTCGTCTCCCATTCCACCTCCTTGGCCTCCATGCGGGACCTCCACGCCGGGTTCTCTGCCCTCTCTCCTGCCAGCTGGGTAGACAGTTGCTCCACCTCCAACCTCGAGGCCGCCAACTCATCACTGAGCATGGAGTACAGCTGGAAGGACGTGATCGCCACCTCGCGTATTCTCCTGTGTGTGCGCTCGGTCCTGGTGGCCGAAAATCCCAGGTCCCCAGTCTCTCGCGTCTCATCCTCCCTCTCGTCCTCCTGCCCCGCCTCTCGCGATCTCGAACGGGTAGCATCCCTCTTACCCTCGTAACTAGCCCAGGCCTCACCAATCCTCTGCTCGCTTGTCGGGGGGTCGATTGGTGGCTTTGGCGCTTCCCCTGCGGCCTCCATCCTAATCTTTTCCTGGTATATCTCCTCGAGACGCACCTGCACTCTTGCGAACTTCTCCACCACCGTCTCCTTTGGTGGCCTCTCCGCTTGCGTCCCGCGAACTCCTGCATTCACCCCTTTCTCTGCGTGCGGCAACTCTGGCGGCGGCTCCTCGGAGGTCGGCATCTCAGTGTCCAGGGGCTCAGCTGCATGCTTTGCTAGCTGTGGTGCCACAGTAGTAGAGGTCCCCGCCCTCTCGCTCTCCTCCCTCCCCTCTAGCTCTGCCCGCGTCGGAGGCGGCGTAGTAGCTTCCAGTGGTGGTACTAGAACTTCCTTGCTATCCGGCTCAGGGATTCCCTCAGGCCAGTACTGCGGTACCTGCTCTAGGATCGGGGTAGGAAGAGGGGTATCGTCCCCAACTGTAATAACCACCTCAGTCCGCGGCTCTTCTGGCCTATGCGGCCCAACTTTCGGCTCTGGCTCAGGCGGTTCTTCTGCCGGCTTATATCGTGCGGGCTCGCCTGGGCCTGCCCCCAGCTGTGAAGTCTTCCATTGGGACGCATCGAGGTGGGCCTCCAGACTATCGAGTGGCGTCCCCAGTGGTACAGTCTCCCTCTCCTCTGGCAGTGTCGGCGACGGGCCCCGTAGGTCACTGCCCATGATCCGACGAAACTCCACCTGCTCAAGTCCATGGGTAAGGGGTAGCTGCTACCTGAGCCGGCCCCGCAGGCTGAACTGGCTCCATCGTCTGGGCGGGTTCCGCCGGCCCCTCTCGCTGCGCCAAGGCCTTCAGGCCTCCCCTAGTCGTAGTAGCCCTCTTGCCTCCGGATCCCGTGGCCTCTTACTCCTCTGTCGTCTCTCCACCCTGGGTTCTGGTCTCTAGGGCTCCAGTCGTCGAAATGCCTGTCTCAACTGCGCCTGACAGTCCTCCCAATCATGCGCCCTGTCCCGAATCTGCCTTGCCAGTGGCCTCTCCGCCCTCCGTGTCCAGAGGGGCAATGTCTGCATCCACTCCTCCTGTCTAGCTCCCTGATCGCGCATAAATTGCTCATAGGCCGGGATGAACTCCTCCGCATTGCCTTCCTCCAATCGAATAGGCAACCCATCTCGTCCCAACGGCGAAGCCCTCAACATCTGCATCCTCGCCTCTACATCCTGCCAGGTCAAAGCCTCCTCCCAGATATGCGCGATAGGCTCCTCAAAGCGCCCCACTCCCCGCAGATGTCGTATCCTCTCCAAGGTGGACCACCCCTCCCGTGCCGCATGAACCTGGTAGGCATCCAGAAAGAGCTCTATGTTATCATCATCGAAAACAGGCGTGGACTCTCTCCCAGATGGTCTATGCGAGTCATCCCCTCCTGATGCTCCCAGAGGCCTCTGTCGTGGCCGTGCGCCCCTCCCGCCCCTCTGCATGGCTGTCTTTGAAAAGTCAGACCTGCACATCAGGCGAGAGAAGCAAGCAGGCCAACAACAAGGTTAGCCATCAGCCCATCAAGCTTTATGATAACACACATGCCCTTTCCTATTCCCCCACCTGACCTGACCATAGCATGCAACACCTCAAGGACTAGTTCGTTCTGAAGAATGTAGAGTTCTTTACCTATTCCCTGGCCACGAACTTCTTCAATCTGGTCCCTGACACCCAATCCTGCCATCCTGTCCCATCCAGCTCCTCAATCTGGTAGGCTCCAAATTCGCCACATCGCAAGATTTTATAGGGGCCCATTCATCTCTTGTCGAGCTTCCTCGACCATTGCTTCTCCAGGGAGGAGTCGTACAGTAGTACGACGTCCCCTACTGCCAACGACTCCTTCCCTACTCGTGCCATCTGGTCCCATCTCATCTTGTCCTCCTTGCGGCTCCTCTCTATCTGACCATCGGCCTCTCGCAACCTTTCCTCAGCAGCTCCCACTTGCCGCGCCCGAATATCGAGCAACTCTTCGAAGGACAAGTTAACTTCCAAGTCCTGGCGCCTCCACGTCTTCATAAAACTTTCTATGGAAAAGGTGGCATGCCTCCCATACCATAGCGTGGCTGGCGCGTACTTGGTAGTCCTCTTTACTGTAACGTTTTCTACGAGAAAGCCGCTCGCAGGAACTTCGGCCACTGTCCAGGCTTGCCCTCCGTCCACTTAGCCAAAAGGTTTGTGGTGGTACTGTGTCCCCTCTCCACAGGTGCATTCGCTTGAGGATGCGCGGCCGTAGTATAGTTAGCCATTACGCCATACCCCGCAAGCAAGGTTCGCACCTCATTGCAGGTGAATTCCGATCCCCGGTCCATCACAAACTCTTTGACAAAGGGATAACGCAGATAATACTCCTCGATGCAATTTGCCAAAACTGGGTCAGTCTTCGTCTGAATAGCCCGACCGTCCACAAACCCGGTAAGGTTATCCCGTGCATCGAAGATGTAATTACACCCATTTTCCCCAGTTGGCATGAACAACAGGTCCATGTGTACGACCGCACCCACTTCCCTCTCCAACCTCGGGTGCAGGGGCTCTCTTGGCCTTTGCGCTAACCTCTCCTGGCAAGGTACACAAGACTGGCAGTACTTCTTGATGACCATAGTCAGCATCCCATCCCAATGGTACAGCTCGCTTATCTTGGCGCACGTGGCACCTATCCCTCTGTGCCCCCCTGCTATACCATCGTGTAGGGCTGCTATGATATCGATCTGCCGGCTCCTCCCACATACAATCCTCTTGGGGTTCCCGACCTGTCGCTTTATAAACAGATGGTCATCTCTTACTACGTAGAGGTGCCTCATCTTCTGCGCTTTAGCACTTGCATCTCTATCCCTTATCTCGTAGGACAGGAGTAGTCCCAACTCCCGGTAGATTCCATCATATTCTTCCACGCGAAACGCCTCCTTGATCACTCTTCGAACTCATCGTCCTCGCTTTCAGGAACAAGAATTTCACTTTCCTCAGGACTGAACGAGCCCCTCCGGTCGAAGTCTCCTTGCAGGAGCGTATTAGTGAGCAGATACATCCCATCCATTAGTTGTTCATGCTCCTCTACCTGAGTGGGGCCTTCCTCTATCGTCCTCACTTCCTCCATCAGACTGTGTGTACCTGCCAATGCCAACTTCATCATCCAGCCGACATCCTTGCTTCCCCACGGATCCTCCTCTTGGAAGGGTTTGAGGACCAACTCCTCCTTTTGCTCGTACCCCTTTGGCGCTAGCCATATGGGGTGACTGACGCAACTGGGCACTCGCAGGGACCATTCGTTTATGTGAAGGTGGACGTCCTCCTCTTGATCCAAAAACCCATCAACCGGCGGGGTGTCTTCTATCGATTCCTGGTCCGATCCGTCCCAATTGATGCGGCTTGACACATTTGCCCTGTTCTTGTTCCCTGGAATCCTTTTCAACTCAAAATTAAACATCCAAATGTAGGTCAACCATCTCGCCATGTATAATTCTTCAGGGAACATGCAAGCGCAGTAGGGTCCACCCTCAAAATGAGCCTCCTGCCGAAAACATAGTTTCGAAAGGTCCTCAGGCAGTGGAGTACCGCAAGTGTCTCCTTCTTAAACTGAGAGTAGTTCCTCTCAGTTGTATTGAGGGTACGACTTTCAAACCTTAGCGGTCCCTCCTTCCCTTCAGTATCTGTCTGGATCAGGACCCCTCCCAAGGCAGTCGGCCCAGCGTCCGTCTCGATAACGAATGGTCTTTCCTCCGTCGCCTCATAGTTTGGCGCTCCTAATACCAAACCCCCTTCCTTAAACTCTCCCTTCATCCTACCGACCGCCTCTTCCTGGTCTTCGCCCTAGACCCACTCCTAGCCTTAACGCACCAACTTCCTTAAATGCTCCGTCTTCGTGGCAAAGTCCTTTACGAAGCTCCCCCAAAACCCGCACGTCCCAAGGAAACTCCTCACATCTGTTATCGAGCGGAAGGGCACTGACCACTTGATGATCTTGTCTGTCTTCTTTACATCAGGCCTTCGCACACTCTCATTACAGACAAAACCCAAAATTGTGGTCTCCCTCATACAATGTTTCGACTTGGGGCCGCTTGCCGTCAGGTTGTGTTCCTCCTATAAACTCAGAACCTGATCGATGTCCTGAACATGCTTCCAGACAAAGCGCCTCACTCCAGGCATCACTTCGTCTTCCTCCTTCTCCTTTGGCCCTTTGACTGCCAGGTCATCGATATAGCGCTGGGTGATATGTGGACTAACCGTCTGCATAGCTCTAATCACGTGCCTTTGTACCATTGCCACTGCATTGGTCCATCCCTGCGGGGCAACATTCATATGGATCAGCCCCCTTGGTGTATGCATCATCATCATCGGCCTATCTGGCGGGTATATAGGAAACTGGTCATATCCAGAATAGAGGTCTATAAGCGAGATTATAGGCCTTCCTGCACATGACTCTGACATGGTGTCCGCGTTTGGCAACCCTCCCGCGTCCCGCACTGTCACCGCATCTAGTCGCTGCAAGTCCTGCACCCACCTTAGCGTCCTGTTTGGTTTGATAAAACAAAACCAAGGGGAGGCATACGGCCCACTGGAGTAGTCGGCCACGTGCGTCCGCATCTTGCCGTCCAGGTAGTCCACCACCTTCTTCTCCTCATTCGGATTTGGATATTGCGCGCCTCTTAAATTCCATGGCTCGTGTGGGACGGTGTGGATTCGTATCATTGGGATCTTATCCACATCCAACCTCCCACGCTCGTTGTCATTAAACGCATAAGCGCGATGTCTCTTCTTCATTGTCTCCACCATCAGGGTCTTCTCTCGGGGTGAAAGGAAGCCGGGTTCCCCAACTATCAGCTCCCCTTCATTCTCACTGCTGATATGGCATGGCCCGGCCAACGCCCACTCCCGCATGCGCCGTATCAGCCATCGCTCCCGTTCGTAATAGGCTTCCTCGTCCTCTGTTGCAAGCACAAGGACTGGGCGACACTTCTTATCTATGGTCTTGTACCGCCTTTGGGAGCTCTGCTTAAGCCCTCCCCTAAAAAAGACCGGCTTGTCGCCCGGGCCCGGGCCATCGCAGGGCCTCCCCTCCCTCCCGGAAGCCGATATACCAATTCCACCTCTCCCACCTGAGGGTTCTCCGAAACCTGCTCCCTCAATGCCTTGATGGCCTCCGGATCCGCCATGTCATGTGCCGACACCACCTCCATGGCCTTGTTCACATCTGTGAGGCTCAGTGTCAGCACCTCATCCCTATCTTTCTCCTCGAGCACTTCCCAAAGCCTCCGACGCTCGTTCTCCAATTCCTCAAAGGTAAACGAGCCGAGATTAGGCCTATTCATTCCACTGCCCGGCCCCGTGTTTCGGCAAGTGATAACCTCATAGTTCTCACACGCTAGGTCACATAGGAGCAGGATCATTGTCCCGTCGTGCTTGTTGAAGATTAGCATCTCAGTTCTACATAAGAACGACCTCCCCAGAAGGATGGAATGACCGACATTGGGCATGACGAAGAAGCAAGTTCTAGCCCGCACCTTCCCAATCTTTATAATCACATTGGACGTCGTGCCGCAAAAGGCAGCCTTACAATTGGCGCTGTGCAACATGCCATAGTCCGAGCGGTCGATCTCCATACCCAGCATCACTGCCTCCTTTTCCCTGATGATGTTCATCTCTGCGCCCGTGTCCACCATCCCAGTGCACTTCTGGTTCTTTATCACCAAATCCACCTGCCCGCACGCCACACGTTTTCAATCCATCATTGTCCTTGCCTCAGTCCACTCTACCTCCCTGGGCAGGACCATACTCAGATGGACATTAGGCACCAACCTTCGGGAGAGTCGCCCTTTCAGCTCACCACGGAGCCTTGGTGCCGACGCCAGGATGTCCTTTAGGTTCATCAGGTCATTATGACCTTCCAGGAGCTTGTCCACCATCCGCTCCACATCAAAGCCTTCCTCCATCCGGACCGCGTACTTCTTCCTCTTGGGCACGCTGTCAGGCAGGCTTGGCTCGGCCCCCTCCCGGGTTCCTCTCTTTCCGGCCCTCAACTCCGCCTGCTGATCCTCCTCTTTATCGGAGTCTCCCATCCTCTTCGTCGTCATCCTTTTCCTCTTCCTCCGGGACCTCCACCACCTCCTTCCTACGTCCTGGCTCAGGCTCCTTTTGAGGGGGTGCCTGGCTGGGCGCCTGATTGGGCTCTTGGCTAGGTCCGGCCTTGTTTTGGCTCCTGGTCCGTGCCGCCTGTGGCACCCTCCCATGCGACGTGGGGGGTCTGTAGGTCATAACCGACCTAGGGCCCGTCCCTACGGTCGCAACTCTTGGGTACCCCTGTTGTCCTGACGAAGGCTCAGGTCCAGAGTCATAAAGGAAGACCTCCGACAGGTTGGCTTCACATCTTAGGGCCTCTTCACACAGGGTATGCAACCTCTGCTGGTACCTCCCCACCTTTTCCAGCAGATCCTCCACCTTCTCCAGGATGACTATGACCGGCTGCCTTTCGCCCTCCTGCCCTTCGTCATCAAACTCGACGACTGTTGGCTCCTCCTTCATAGTCCCTGCCTTTAGTCGCTGAGTAACCTCCGCGCTATCCCCCACAATCTCCTCGACCCTTATGGCCGGATGTTCTCTTTCCTGCCACATCCTGAACATGGCTGGGGTTACCGGTGGCCCTGCCGCCGCTCGCCTGAGGACCTTTTGCTTGATCCCTCCCGGGACCTTGGGGTCAATATGCTTTCCCCATTTATCAAATATATCTCCGTCCATACAGGAGGAGATTAGCCCTGCTAGCTCATCATCCCGCCGCTGCTGGCAGAATCGTATGGTGTGTCCTACAGCGCGACGATGCCAACAGGTGGCATTCCGCCAATCGAAGCGGGGCCTCCCATATCCCTGGCCCCCCTCCTGGCCGCCTTAGCCATCTTGGTTTTGGCCCCCCTGACCATTCCAACCACCTCCACGACCCCCACCATTTCTCCCTCGTCCCCGGCCACCGCCTCCTTGACCCCCTTGGCCTCGGCCTCCATTGCCTTGGTCGCCTTGCCCCTGGTTTCCTCCCCCGTCCACACTAGCCTGCGAGGCTTGTTGGGAGGGTGGCGGTTGGGCCACAAACTGACCTTGAGTCGCAAAGTAGCTCGGGGGGGCCCATACTTGACGACGGGCCCTAATAGGGGACCATCTGTCCAGCGTGGGCTTGACTCCCTCCACACGAGGTACAGTGGTTACAACTGGGCCAGGGCGCGAGCTGGCAATGCGGCATCCAGTGCCCACAGGCTGGCGGCGGCCCCACACATGATGGCTCGGCTGGCGCTGGCGTTGTTTTGGCGGCAAGTGGTGGCGAGGCAACCGCTTGCCCTTCCCTGATCCTTGACCCCCCATTACGCTGCTTCCTCTGGGCTTTGGTCAGGATCTGGGAGCCCGTTTCTTCTCCGTTATAATCCTCGCGTCCAGCCTCTTCATCCACTGCCCCTGATGCCCGGCCCTGGGCCACGGTCACCCCTCTCTTTTGCACTTCCGCCTCATTATCATACCCCACCGCAGCCAGCACGTCCGTGACAATCCTCTTCACCCCCGGGGTCCCAGATGCGGTGGCGTCCCTTTTCTTTCTCTTGCGCCTCTGCAGCCGCATCTAGTGCTGCTCCACATGGTCCAGACTCCCCTCTTCCACTCCCTTGTCGATAGTGGCCCTGGTGAGCTTCTTGCTTCCCCCTCCATGGCTCGTCAACTCCGCGGCCTCCGAGCCAGTAAGCAAACCCAAAAATATGGCACACTGTGTCTCTTCAGAATCCCGTGCACCTTCCTTGCCTTCCTTTTGAACTCGTGCACGAACGCCCCGATCGTGGAGAAGTCATCTTCGTTCATGGCCTCCAAGTCCGCCATGGTCAACAAACCATCCCCCAACCTATACTTTCTTAGCATCAGGTCCCTAAACCTCGCCCAGCTGCCATTTGCGGCGTCCACCACCCTACCCACCTCCTGATGGTAGGTATGAAGGACGTATCTCATAATCCGCTGAAATCTTACTTCATCCGCCAATCCCACCAGCGCCTGCTCAACCAGGTCCAGCCAATCGGACACCCGCTCTCCCTTGAAGTGGAACGTATCAACCTTCGGGACATTGCTCGACGCTCTCTCGCGCTTATCCAAGGCATCGATGAGGTCGTCGAGTGTCCATCACAAGCCTTCTCCCACCGTCTGCCATCTCCTCAGGCATTTTGATCGACTGCCTTCGGCTTCAATCCCCCTGTTATACGAAACGATAGGACAAAGGGTTCCACTCAGCAGTCCAATCCATCACAACCCTATCGGGCTAACCACTTAAATGCCCAACGCTCTAGACCTGGAAGACATTTCTCTTTCTATTTCCCTTAGGCGCACCTAGGTAAGGCCCATCCCCATCATAAAATTCCCTCGCACATTCGCCTTATCCACACCATCAGCCAAACCACCAATCAATCAACATTTACACACACACAGCCATATAGACTACTTATACGATCCATCTCATAGTCCTGCCCTTCTCCACTCATGTGCCTAGTTCTCCCTCATTCCCATACCCGGATGTCTTTCCACCAGGGACAACGGTAGGCTTCCGTTATCCCCGGCAATGGCGCCACCTGTCGGGCGCATCGGTCCGGCACCGCACGTGGCAGCGCGGGGCCCTCTCGGCCGCGTCACGCAGGAGTTGGACCAACCTCATCACGGACACACAAATGGAGCTTCCTTAGGCCGCTCCGGCCGAGTGCGCCAGCCATACCTCTCGCGAGCACTACGACAAGATAGGGCCTACGCGAGGCACATCATACCTCCACCTTACGGGAGTTGTCACCTCCCTTCGTTGGGCGTATCCCCGCCAAGCTACTCGTCCACAGTACGAAAGCTACTCGGTTGCAATCGCAGAGGTGGACCAGTCGAGGGCGTTTCTCGTTCGCTGTAGCATGGGGGGTACGCGCGGTAATACACCTATCGGACCCGCACGCGAACCCACATCTCTGGGGGCTTAGGTCCCAAGCGCGGCCCGACGTGGGTCGACTAGGACGCATCCCACACACCACGCGCACACCACTCTGCGAACACAAAGAAAAGAACACACACACATACACATAAAACGACACAGCACGAACAACGCGACAACGCTCCTAGCCCCTTCAGTGATCATCCCATAACTTCCCACCGCGGAAATCGGATGGGCGTCGTGCGCGAGACTCAGTATAAAACCGCGCGGACGCAGGGCCTACTCATACTGACTAGCAATGCAAAAGTGTGCAAGCAGTCGTAATGATGGTGTACCCTGTAGTACCCATACTCGCGCGGCCACCGTTAATCTTGAGGGTCGCGTTCGACACTCAAGTGTCAGCTGACACGCGCCTTGAGGGTTAATCTCTTGACGATGTACAACCGCCACGCCTGTGGTGGCAATAGTTTCTCGCAGCCCTGGAGATAAGTCCTACTCCAGGCTCAGGCGAAAGTCAAGGGGTTTGACTTTGATGGCTGCCACGGACTACAACGTCCAACCATAAAAATCTCTAAAAAACAAAAGATGAAGGATGGGCCGGAGACCCCTTTATTCCAAAAGAAAACATGATCTTGGGGTACCCCTCCCCCTTTCGGGTGGTGCCCACGGCATGTAATGATCCCAAATGTTTACGCGTATGTGCGAGGCCCTTCGATCCCATAACCTTTAGACACTAAGGCGGCGAAGCGCCGCGCGCAGGACTTCAATATAAAGCCGCGCGGTCACAGGTCAGTCCTATACCCACCGACGATGCTAGTCATATGCGGTGATCGCGGCTCCGGCCTCGCGATATTGAATGGCTGAAGGAATATCGCGAGGGGCCACCCCTCACGATATTGAATGGCTGAAGGACATTCCGTTCGGCCCTTGCGACATTTCCCCCTTCAGGGTTGGGTGTCTCGTCGGCCAATGCAGAAAGGCTCGGTACAAGGGGAGGTTCTTCCCCGGCAGAGCCTAGGGCTGGGGATGTCCTAGACAAGGACCTTGAATCTCAGCCCAGGACCAACGTCCGACTAAGAAGCCCCCAAGAAGTAAACAAGAAAAAGGGAAGGTTCTTCCCTGTGCCTCTCAGTCCTAGCCTCTAAGCAGGCTTTTATCATGGGGCCCTTTGGACCTCGCGGACACCCATTATAGGTACACCCAAACATACACGCATAAGGGAGGTAGAGTTGCGACGATCACTTCTCACAGGCACAGTGGGGCTCTTCGCAACCATATGTATATATATGGGATCGCAGACAATCCAAATCTAAAATCCAAGCCACATGACATACTTGCAATCACACCCAGAATCGAACGACAGACACACACTACACGAAGTCAACCCCGATCAATCTCCGCACTCATACCCCTTGCTTTAGCCATGCAAGCCCTAATCTCTTGTCCAACCAACCATAATTAAATACTCAGTACCTTGGTCAAATGGCCATTCAATAAAAGTCCGGGTAAAACCCTTAACAAACAATAAAGTCAGCAGGGCTAAAGCCTTTTAGGTTGGGTATGGAGAGTGAGTTGGAATTGAGTCGTAGACCGACGAATCGGCAACCGACTTGTTATCAGTGATAACAGAAGAGGATCCTTCCGGGATCGAGCTGAACTTAATCCAGATCCTGAATCAAACTGATTAAGATGGTCCGTAACACATGACAAGTCAATACCCACGACTAAATCTATAAGTTTATGGGGAACAATCTCCATATCACGATCTCACTCAAACCACCCTGATTAACTAAGCCTAAGCCTACCCTTAAACAGTGCCCAAAGCAAGGGTAGACCTTGGCAGAGTCTCCCCTATATAGGGTGGATTGCTAAAGTCGCCACCTGTCAAAATATAATCCATCTCCTTTAAACTAAGAAAATTTCGGCAGCGCTTCCCGTAGGAAAAATGCATTTTCAGAATTTATATCTGCCCGAATATAAAACAGAAATAGCCTTTGACCTTTCAAAGTCCAATTTTTGTCTAACTCTCTGAATTAGCAAAAAATTGGGCAGTACTCCCTTTAGAAAGGAAGACTTTCCATAATTTTACCAAGTCATATACGGACCTTAGACAAGTTGAACTTTGAAAAGTCAGTAATTTGACTAACTCCCTAAATTTGTTGAAATTTCGGCAGCGCTTCCCGTAGAGAAAAAAGCTTACCAAAATTTATACAAGCCGAAGTATAGCAAAAGATCTCAGAAAATGCAGGAATCGACCTAACTCTTATCGCTCTAGCACGTGGCGAGCCTCCAAAGCAACTACCTATCAACATGAAACTCAAGCCAAGTAGTAGCCTCACTCAACCATTTGCAATGCCAAACCACAGGGATAAGTACCCTCACCGGCCCGAAGTCAACTTAGCAAACAATAGTTCGTAGTCTCTTAATGATTTAACCCTTTTATACCCAATTTACATAGGGCGTAAGGTCAGGCAATCCAATTTTATGGAACATGCCTGGCGCAACCATTGAATATACACGAACATGCTGCACAACTACTTCTCTCTTCTTTTGGGCATATGACTAAGCCATTCGTCTTAGAAACAAAGCTTCGTCGCCCTGAACTATTTAGTATCCAAGTTATATATATATATATATGACTTGGTGTTCAAAAGCTGGGCGTAGGACTGAGCCATTCATCTTAGAAACAAAGCTCAGCCTGCCCAAGTTACCTTCAGTTATATTCTTAACTATACTCTCTTCAACTTATGATAAGCTATAGTCAAGCCATCCAATCTTATGGAACTCGTGCCTGACTAGCCTGTTCATAGATAAAATAAAAATAAAATATAGCCAAGTTATAACCTTTTAGGTTCCAGCATGTGCGAGGCATTGGGCCAGA